TGATTAGTACCAGTTGATTAGTACCAGCTGGTTTGAGGGTAAACTTTCTTCACAGTCGTTTATTTTTACCTCGTCGTTTTCACTGGAGGTCGATGTGGTTTTTTTCTGTTTCTCTCCACCAATGGATGTCCGTCCTCTGTCTTCATCAGTGGGAGGAGATCGGTGAAGTGGACGAGAACTACGCCCCCATCCACACCTACCAGGTGTGTCGGGTCATGGAGCAGAACCAGAACAACTGGCTCCACACCAACTGGATCCTGACGGAGGGCGCGCAGCGAGTCTTCATCGAGCTCAAGTTCACGCTGAGAGACTGCAACAGTCTGCCGGGCGGAGTGGGCACCTGCAAGGAGACGTTCAACATGTACTACTACGAGACGGACGGAGATGAGGACGAACCCGAGGGCGGCGAGATGAGCCATGGTACGGCCATGACGGAGGAGGAGGAGAGGGCGATGAAGGAGAGCAGGTACATCAAGATCGACACCATAGCCGCCGACGAGAGCTTCACGGAGCTGGACCTGGGCGACCGGGTCATGAAGCTCAACACCGAAGTCCGAGACTTGGGTCCGTTGACGCGTAAAGGCTTCTACCTGGCGTTCCAGGACCTGGGGGCCTGCATCGCCTTGGTGTCGGTGCGGGTGTTCTACAAACGCTGCCCTTTCCTGGTCAAGAGTCTGGCGGAGTTCCCGGACACCATCCCGGGCTCCGAGGCCTCTCAGCTGGTGGAGGTGGTCGGGCGCTGCGTCAACGACTCCCTGCCGTTGTACGAGCCTCCCAGGATGCACTGCAGCACGGAGGGCGAATGGCTGGTGCCCATCGGGAAGTGTGTCTGTCAGCCGGGCTTTGAGGAAGTCGGTGGGTTCTGCCAAAGTAAGTGGAAAAAAAATGGTCCAAAATGTTCTTGAACTGAAGGTTTTTATTGTTCTGTAGATTAGTAGCTTTAGCTTAGCTAACAGATTAGCTAACAGATTAGCAGCGCTCAAAATGTCAGAATTTCTTTACACTTTTTTATAATAATCATTGAACACAGCGCCTCATGGTGGTCATAGTACTGATGCAGATGTTGCATATCCTTGAAATACTTCTGATGTTGCTTTGCGTTAGTGATGATATTTTGAGCACGTTAAGGCTAACTCATGTTTGAACCCCCCACCCCCCACCCTCCTGCTCCCTCATTGGTTGGTTCTGTAAAACTCGGTCTGTACTGGAAACCAGCCGTTCTAACTGGGTCTGTGTCCTACCAAACTGGCGGTTCTCTCCTGGTGATACCAGTGTGACCTTGGACAACAGCGCCACCTATGTGTTGAAAATGGTCACGTCTCCTTCGGAAGTTTTTTTTCCCGCTTTAACGTCTCCAGTTTCCTCGTCTCCGTCTTTGTTGGTTTTGTGTCTGTGGATCTGTTTGTGTTTCTGACTGTGTCTACACACTGTACGTACGTGTGTGTGTGCGTGTGTGTGTGTGCGTGTGTGTGTGTGTGTGCGTGTGTGTGTCTCCCCCGAGCCCCTGCAGCTCTTTGCTGCTCTCATCCATCCACTCTTGTGCTGCGGTTCTATTCCCACTCAGCGCTGACCTTAGCTGCCGTTTTCCTGGACACCCGTTGGGCCTCTTTCTCCTTTTTGTTTACTCTCTCCCTCTCTGACCCCCCCTCCCCCCGGCCCCCCCGACCCTGCTGTTTGAGACTTTATATGATTTTCAAAAAGATAAAAATATTCCAGCAAACGTTACCGTGAGGGTAAATCTGGACCAGAGAAATGACGTCACGTCTGATTTCCCTGGTCGTTGTCACAGATTTGAACAAATTTGATTCAACGCCGTGATGTTTCATTTCTTTTCAAGATTAGATCTGAACTCAATTTTATTTTTCAGGAAGCATCGAGGATTTTATTGTAATTGTCGGACAGTGAGGAAACTCTCACCTGGTGCCTTTAGCTTCACGTCTGAAACCTCAAAGTAAATGGGGGGGGCGGGGGCCATGTCTGTACCGCTGCCCGACTCTTGGATATTTTTACTCCAGAACTAACTCCCCGTCAACCAGAACCGACTTTTGGATTTTTTGTAATTTGAGAAAAATATAAATGTGCAGAAATATAACGGTTAGCTAAGATTCATTAACAGTTAGCTAAGATTTATTAAGGGTTAGCTAAGATTTATTAACGGTTAGCTAAGATTTATTAACAGTTAGCTAAGATTTAAAACGGTTAGGTAAGATTTATTAACGTTAGCTAAGATTTATTAACGGTTAACTAAGAATTATTAACAGTTAGCTAAGATTTAAAACGGTTAGGTAAGATTTATTAACGGTTAGCTAAGATTTTTTAACAGTTAGCTAAGATTTATTAACGGTTAACTAAGAATTATTAACAGTTAGCTAAGATTTAAAACGGTTAGGTAAGATTTATTAACGTTAGCTAAGATTTATCAACGGTTAGCTAAGATTTATTAACAGTTAGCTAAGATTTGTTAACGGTTAGCTAAGATTTATTAACGTTAGCTAAGATTTATTAACGTTAGCTAAGATTTATCAACGGTTAGCTAAGATTCCTTAACAGTTAGCTAAGATTTATTAACGGTTAGCTAAGATCTCCGTACCTTCTTTTTTCTTACGCTGATGACTCTGTCCGACGTTCGACGTCTTTGAAACGTTCCGCTGAGACAAACCTGTTTCTCGGCTCTGTTAGCGTCGGAGCTCCAGCTCTGGGTTTAACGTCGGGTTCTGATGTTCACCTCGGAGTGTGAGGTTTTTGAATTTTGTTTTTGAGATGTTGAAAGAATCCCTGGATGACAGACGGCGTAGACTGGTGTCCTCGGTGTCTCCTCGGTGTCTCCTCGTACTTTCAGCTTTTGTCGTCAGATGTGGAAGTTCTCAACATTTGAACCGGAGAATCCGTCTCACGTTGAAGGATTTCTTTTTCCTGCCTATAGCACAGTATATATGGTAGGGAGGATGAAAGGAGGAGCTGGGTTTTATCACAGCCCGGAGCCTGAGAGTCTGTGGTGAAGTGGTACAAAAATATAGGAGCTCAGGATCATGGGTTGTGTTTTTACGGTTTGAAAATATTTTGTCAAATATTGAATTCTGCTGAAGTTTTTCAACTAGTACCAAATATTTAATCCAAACATTCATCTGTAGAAAACCAAACCACGAGTCTGTAGTTCTTAAATACGTCAACAGACCAAACAAAAACCAGAAACTAAATGATCAAAAAGTCATGGAAAAAAACCATCATCAAAGTCCTGACCATGTGGAAAAGGTTGAGTTCATTATCGTTATAATATCGATAACTAAATATTTGATCATTTCTAGTTTGAATAAATAACAACGAGACGTGATTAAATCATCCGTCATTCCACTCTTTTCTTTCATTGTCTCCCCTTCTCCCATCTTTCTCCCCCATTCTTTGGGGGCCGGGGTCTTTGTTAGGACTAACTACCACCTCCATCCTCACCCTCTCTCTCTCCCTCCTCCCCCATTCTTCTGTTTTATCTCTCCCTGATCGTCCATCCATCTTTCTCTTCTCTTGACCTTTGAGTCTTTGTAGCTGCTAACGACGTTAGCGTCTCCTAGCTCTTCACTCCCCTCTCTTGACGTCTTTGTGTCGTTGCGCTGTAGCCTGCGTTATTTTATCATGTGACGGCTTTTTTTTTTTTTTAATTGTCCAGATATTGATCTCAGTAAATGAAAGGGTTTTTACAGGAAGTGAATGTATTTGGATCCAAAGTTGATCCTGTCTGGTTCTACAGCGTCTGTGAGTGTGGGACGACGGTCCAACTTTAGCTGCGATGGACGTGAGGGCAGAGAGACGTCAGGAGGGATGGATGTTGTTCCAGGGGTGACTGTGATGGAGGAAGGATGAAGGAGCAGTAGAAGAGTGGAGATGGATGAAGAACAAGACAAGGAGGAAGAGGAGGGAGCGAGGGGGGAGGGGGGGGGGTGATGGGTATCTGAACACCAGGAGGAGCAGAGAAGGAGCGGCTGCAGCAGGAGAGAGACTAATGTCTGAGTCTGATGGTGTGGAAGAGTCGAGCGTTCTGTCAGGATGATCGGACCACGCCCCCCACTTTTATCTGCTTCAGATCATAATAAGTAAAGGAGGAGAAATGGATGTAGCTGTCTGTTAGCGCTGGTGTTAGCGCTGGTGTTAGCGCTGGTGTTAGCGCCGCTGCTGTTCTTCACATGGAGTGAAGTCAGAGATTGAACCAAAATAAAGGATTGACGTCAGTCAGAACCAGACCTGGTACCAGGGTTTGACGGGCCGGATTAGAAACCCCAGCGGACCATATGTGGCCCACAGGCCATAGTTTGCCTGGGTCTACATTAGACTGACATGGAGAGGACTGGACTGGTTCGTCTCATAACTGAATATTAATATTTCCTCCTGATCTTCCACATCCCATAATTCTTTGTTCATTGTCTTCTGTGATGAATGACACTGGAGGAGAACCATCCAGAACCATCCAGAACCATCCAGAACCATCCAGAACCAGAGCTGCTCCAGGTGTTTGAATCCAGGATGTTCTGTTTGGATGTGCAGCAACACAAACGTCCACACCTCCACCGTGGCACCGACACAAAAGAATGGCTGAATAATGTCAGGGAGATGATTTCTGGGGTTTTTGGCAGTAAAATAATGTTTGTTCAGCGGCAGAAGAGCTGATGAATTGTGGGAATTATGAATAACAGACTAATGTGGGAGTCAGGACACGAGCCGAACGAGACGCCGTGATGATCGGCGCGGAGCGAAGCGGCACACGGTGCAGAGACGGTGGAATAATGGAGCCGCAGAGGCCGGATCCAGTGTGGGAATAATGCAGCGTGGGCTCAAATTGAATGTCGGAACGACGGGATAAGAGCTGAACGGCATGTTGGGAAAACAGCGAAATGAAATCCTCAGATTGACGGCTTTCAGACACGGCGTGGACGCCACGGAATTTACACCACAAAAGAGTCGGAGGAAAGAAAGACGTGAATGAAGACGAGAGGCGGCGGAGTCGGAGGAGAGGAGAAGAAGCTGGGAGATAAGGGGGGAGGAGGGAGGGAGGAGGGGGGGAGGAGGGAGGACAATCGTTGGTGTCATCAGTTTTTGACAAATGACGTGGAAATGATCAAATTCCTTAATAACTCGACGCTTCAGTCGTGGTGAGCGTCTCAGTCTCGGCTGGATTTCCTTTGACAATTCCACTGCCCCCTGGTGGCCCTCTGTGTGTTCACGGCCTGTCAGGCGTCACCGCAGCATATGTCAAACTCCATCTGGTCACAGAGCTGCTGTGACATCACAGAGTGTTGCTTCAGACCTC